GTTTTTTGGACATCCTGATAATAATGAATTACAGTAGTCCAGCCTGGAAGTAATAAATGCATGAACTAGTTTTTCAGCGTCACTCTGAGACAGGATATTTCTAATTTTAGAGATGTTGCGCAGATATATGAACCTTTTTTTTTTAACTTATTTAGCACATTAGTAATAAAAGCTGTGATGATGGAGAGGGGAACCCCTGTCATATATGACTTCTTAAGGCAGGCAAGTTGAACAGCTGTAGTCTCCATCAGCACTTTCAGACCAACATCTCTGAGAAATCACTTGTAGAAAATTTAACCAGCTTTTTGCTTAATTTTTCATTAATTTTTAATCTCATTGTAGACACTGATAGTTAACAATATCACCTGCAGCAGTAATACTGATCCATGTAACACCGATTACTGCAGAATAAATACTTTTATTTTTGATATATTACATAGAATTTGCCAAAAAATAAATGCAGTTTTATGTTTAATGAAGTGTTCGCAAAGTATTTTAAACATAAAACAATGATTCTAAAAAAAAAAAAAACACTTGTCATTTTGAGCTAATAATAAATAATTAGCTAACTGTAGTAAGTAATAACATTTAACAATTCTACTGCCAGAAAGAAGTGCAGAGAGGTGAAGATGTTTGAAACTGGTCAAAATTCTCTTGTTAAAGACTAAAGTAAATAAATGAAGAGTTTCTAGACAGTTTACAATATTTTCCAAAGACAGTTTTCTCATAGTTGATGCACTGAGCTGATCTGCAGGCAGGATTATGGAAATGGGTAGAAGGTTTTAGGAAATCCAAATAACTGAATGTTAAAAGAATTTAACCAGACTTTCTTACCAAAGTTTAGCTTCATCTTAGTGAGGACAGTGGCCACAACACCATTCACAATTTTAGAATTAGGATTTCCTGCAATTAGATCATTGATTGAGATACAAATTTTAGAAAATGTAGGAGAAAAAAAAATCCACACTTGCTTAAAAACAGTCATGTTTTTCAGTCATATGTAGTTCACTAATATTATACCAGCGTGCACAGAAAAAGTCACCCAGAGGCACAAAAGGAATGATCAGAATGACATCATCAGAATCCACAGCCTTCAGGCAAAGTGTGAGGACAGTTCAGGGAGCCTCGGGTATGGCAAGTTTCCATTCCTACACCTGAAATGATCAGTGGCAAAGCTGTAAGAGCGACAAATGTACAGCACATCTTTAAAAATGACAACTCTTCACTCTTGTTTAATATCTTGTGCCAACAAATATCATTAAAATTTTCCACGTGAGATCATTTAAATTTACTTTACTTCTTTTTGTCTTCATCGTCTTCATCGTCTTCTTTGTCCTTGAAAATGAGACCTCCTAGCCATTTCAGTCCTGCTCCTGCAGCAGCTCCAACACTGCCCACAGCCGCAGTGGCAGCCCCCAACAGCCCGGCTGCACCTTTGGGAGGAATGAGGAAAAATATTCCAAGTCAAGCAGCTGAGATTGCCTATAACTTTATCAGGAATCAGACTAACTGTACTGACTGCTACCTAATTGTGGCATCACTGCCCCCTCAGTGGTGTCAGATTTCATAAACTAAACAATGTCCTATGGCTTGTACACTAATACACGGTTCTTGATTCTCAAAACAGCCCCAGTTCTTTGCGGCATGGATTCAAAACTATTGGCAAACTTATCAGAACTGGGTCAGTGTTGACATAACTGCAACATGTCCTTTCTGTGGCTCTGCCAGCTGCACACTCATGTTCAAGTCCCTTTTAACCTCCTAAGACCCGAACTCTTTCATGGCATGCATTTTTCATTTTTCTTTGCTATTTGGGTTGATTGGGACCTGATGAATTTAAAAACAAAGAATTACCAGATTTTTTTTTTTTTTTACCGAATTTTTGTTTCTGAGAAAAATGAGATCCACATATGTCCACATATGAGGACATTCATTTTAAATTTTGATAGAACAGTGGCAGTATAATGTCCTCGAAAGCAGATATCAGGCCCTTGTAGAGCAAGATTTAGTATTTTGGTCCAGACATCCCAAAATGTGATGTCTGTATATGTGGACAATACTCAGTGCAAGGGCAATAAAACTACACTTTATAATAAAAGAGTTCAAAGTGTGGCAGGATTATAGTCCTTAGTCTAATCGCACCACAAGCTTAGTCCTGTAACACAACACAGGCTGGAACAATTAACTGATCTTATTGACACTAAGGCGTCTCCATTTAAGTCTGTAAATAGACTTTAAGCTGAATCATTTGTAAATATGTTATCAGTCATTTGTATTTCAGTCCCTGAGTAGCCAGAGTTTTACGAGCCATATACTGGTCACCACCAACAGGAGCAAAGGTCACCTTTGCTTTGGTTCCTAATAAAGTGAATGTGTACAGCACTATTAATGAGACTACAGTAAAGTCAGACAAGCCTACCTGCTGACTGTAAAACAGCCACCATGCCTCCTGCTGCCACTCCGCCTCCATTAGCCACTGCAGCAGCAGACATCATGCTTGCAGCGTAGGAGCCTGCAGCTATTCCAGCTGAGGTGAAACCTACGGCCCCCAGAGCAACAGGAGCCAAGGCCACTGCACCGACTGCACATGGACGAGAACACCAGCATCAGTGTGACTGTTACAAATGATATGCCATGTAAAAAGTTTTTATATAAGCAGAGGCCTGAGGTACAAGGCAGGATTACATCTTATCCTGGGCTCGCTTTACATGTTAAAATAAGGTTGCTGGTATCTTTCAGTTATCTGGATTTGATCCAGATAAGTGGTCACATGAAGCTGTTATCAACGAAACTGAGTGTATCCAGGGTTCACCCTGCTCGCTCACGTAAAAGGGCTGGTGCTGTTGGGAAGTGTAAGCGTGCTGGCAGCTCAAGGGCTGATTTTACAAAGAAAGAAAACTATACTAAAAATATGAAGAGGTTAAAAACATTATACAGATACTGAACACAGCAGAGTGTGTGAGAGGGAAAAAAGTACTTTACAGTAGTTTAGTATTAAAAGTGTTGTATGAATGTTTGTGCCCTCTAAGCACTTTGGACAGCATGACTGGAAAATGCACATTATATGAATAAAGTCTGGCCTATTTGAAGCCAGGAAAAGTTAAAAGATTCAATATCACAGTTCTGTCTGTGAGGCACTGGAGAACCTGATGATTATAATCAAGGTCAGCAAGTACAAGTTTCTGTCCTGTTTCACAATCATGTATTATTGCAACAATAATAATGTAATTTTTCCTGTTGGAAGCAATAAGGTTGTATCTAAAGATCTACATTTATTAATGACATCAGGGGAAAAACGAACACAAAAACATTAGATCCTCCTACTGTCCACGCACAGAGGTCTGAGGGACTTCCTATGAACAGTGACCCTATTGTCTGGATGATGTATTGGTCAGTAGGTGGTGATTTCATGCATACCGATCTCTACATTTCATTTGAGAGCATAAGTTATAATGGCGCACACAGGGTTCAAGTTATGATTAACGATCAGCAGGTATGAAACAACGCCTGCTAACTACTCAGTTTTCTGAAAATAGCGTCACTATTCGTAGAAGATCCCCCAGACCTCGCAGTGCAGACAGTAGGACGGACTAAAGTTTTTCAAAACTCTAAGGTTTTGGTGCTTTCCCTGATGCGCATCAGTAATAAATATATATTCTTACACTTCACTTTATTCCTTAACATTTTTCTTTTCCCTGTTGGTGGCAAATTGTTTACATGCTGCCAAAATCCATCCTTGCGTCAGCCCCAATCAAGCCCTGGGTTAGCTTATCAAGCCGACAGCCAGCTTTGTGTGACCGCTTCTCCTGACTGCAGGGTAGTGGATCAACATAACAGAGAGATACCGTGGGTAGGTTGAAGCCCGGTGACCACACAGACCGTCCAAAGCCTTACCTGCTCCCCCTGCAACAGCAGCGATCGTGCCTGAAACACAACATCAAAGCTCACATCAGCACTGACATTTGCTATCATCATGGCACCGTCACACCATTAAACACATGAGTATAGTTATTTTAAAGCAATACGTGTATTAAAATACTCACCAAAACCCATGTTTACAGAGTTCCGCTTTCTCCGTTGCTCTTGTGGTACTGCTTCCATGACCCTAACACTGACACTGTCAGAGCGGCACACTTACTGTTTTTATAGGTCACGAATGAAAAACGAAACTTAACATTTCCATTTCATCAAAGGACAAAACGAAAAGAAGAAACTAAAACATGGTGCAGTTATGGGGCGCCGTTTGTAAAGTGAAACATGCTGAAATTAACGGCAACATTTTTCCACATTTAGCTCAAAACAAGTCATTTTTT